CGTGGGCCGTTCTGGTGACGGGGTCTGCCCCTCATGTAGGGCAGACCCTCTCGGTGTCTCCGGGGCCGAGATGCAGGCTGCCTGTGAGCCTACAAGAAGTGTTTGGGAACGTTTCTGCCATCGCTGGAGACTCCACGCAGGGCACTGAGGGGCTGCTGCGTGGCTCCTCGAACTTATGCCTAAACTCTGGGTTTTCTGGCCGCCCCTCGTCCCCTTTTTCACATTGGAGCGTTAGTCGTGGTTGTTTCTAATTGTATGGAATTGGCTTGGATGAAAACTTTAATATTCTTAGGAAATTCGACAGGAAGTATGTAAATAACTTCAGAAGGTTGGTTCAGATCGAATTTTTACGTGTGGCTGAGCAGCCTAATATTACCTTGGAAAACTTCCCTTCCCACTAGAAACCCCGCTAGAAACGTGGGCTCTGGCAGCTGCAGAGGCGGCTGTTCCTGAAGCCTGTGCTTCAGCCCTTGTCTGCGAGGCCGCAGCTCAAGGGAAGCCTTGGGAGCCAAGTAAAGAAGGCTGCGCTGGGGCTGGAGCGGCCTCGGTCGGTGACTGCATTGCAGGTTTTCTTGTTCGTGCTGCTGGCCAGGCTGGATGGTCGCGGGCAGTAGGAGGGAAAACAGGCAGCTTCTATGAGGCAGTCTGCTGCTGCTTCCACCGTGTAAAGGTTGCATGTGAGATGCTGCATTTTTCCTTCCCTGTTACTGCGTGCTGGCAGAGATAAATCTGTATTTTCATGTGAAAAGCAGAATTAATTGCAATAAACAGCATATATGTATTAGCTTTGGTGATTATGAGGGCATGTCTTATACACTCATAGGATAAGTCTGGAGTTGCACAGAAGGCCAACATTGTATTTTTCTGTCACTTCTAGTAAGGAGTAAGCTCTCAAGTTATGCGAGTAAACTTATGCTTTAGTTTTGTATGGCCTGTCAATGTGGTAGTCAGAGACTAGTTAAGGTATGATTTCCATTGTCTCCCCTAGATTGGCTAATGCTCAGAATGAAATGCAGAGCGACTATAACATCTGATTTCTGTATTTGGTTTTTTATAGATATTGGTATTAACCTCACAGATCCTATGTTCAGAGGAATCTACAGGGGAACACAAAAACATCAAGGTAAATGTTTCTTTGTATCTGCTGAAAGACAGGATCCCTCTTGTTAAAATAGAAACCTCTTATGTTTCAGAACATGAAGTTAGAGTTTCTATTTTCTCCTCAAAAACTGGATGCTTATTATTTACTACGGCTTGAAGAAGAAAGTATGACAAAATAAGTTAGATGTTCTAAGCAAAATACATTCTCTTCTCAACTACTATTAAGTTGTCATACAGGTAACTCTGCTTCTGGAGCAAAATGGACAATTGCTGATCTATTTCTATTAGAATTGCATGGAAAAACTGATCTGAGAATTATGAACGATAAACTAGCAAAGTATTGCATTGCTGAATCATAGTTACTAATTAAAACTGATGCCTTTTTTGCTCTCATGGCCTTTAGATATAGATGTAAAAACAGGGAGTCTCCTAAAGTATGTGGAAAAACTTCTGTTGACTTTTTAGATTTAAATGGGATCTTTAGTTATTGCATTCTGTTATTGTCTTCTAACGATTAATCAGGTGTGATTTAAAGATTGTTCATGATAGGCATTTTGACTGCATGTGATTTTTTGTTGAAAAGTAGTTAAATTATGCTGTAAAACCTTAAGTTCAATTTGTGATATTTTTATGAACTTTCGCAGATGACTTTTTGGACGTGGTAGAGAGAGCAGTCAAAGTTGGTGTTAAAAAGGTAATTTTTTATAATAAAATTTCTTTAATATTTTAAACTGCTTTCTAAAACTTCACGGTTTTTTTAGTGCTTCCTTATTAAACCAAATGTTTCTGGAACTTGCAATGGAAAATGCAGTAACTTTCTTCTATAGCATAAAGCAAAAGTGTTCTGTGCAGAGCGTTGTCTTTCATTGGCACAGATCATTAGATGCTGGTTATTTAAGTCCAATAGTATCATATGTGATGTGTATGTAGAATTTCTTTTGTACAGTTTCAACGGAAAGATGTTCTCCTCTGACCTACTGCAATGAACTAGTACATAACTTTCCCTGTTAATTGTATTATAGGCAGCCACTCCTTTCTTCTTGTATCCTGTGTGAATCTCTTACTCGACAGTTACTGCTACAGATCAAAGCCCAAAAAACTCTTCTCATTGAGATTCTTCAGATATTTCTATATGTAAAGGAAATTGGTAACTGCAGAAGAGCTGGGACTGCCCATAAATTCTTAGAGCTGAGACATCTGAATGTCTGGTAGTAAATACTGGCTTACATGTATTAAAACAGCATCATTATGAGCAGGTTTGTAACTCTTAGCTTGAAATTGGTGTTTTCAGCAGTGGACCACACTCCTTTAGTTACAATAGTCCAGCCTGCCTATATCTCTCTCTAAACTGAATTAATTGTCAAGACAAAAATATGAATTAAAATAGAATACAATGCATACTGTCACAAACTGTTCCACTGCACTAATAAGGCAGTGTGGATTAGAAATAAACCCTCCTCTAGAAGAACAGGCATCTCAGAAGACTGCTGAAAGGCACTCATCTGAAAAGAGTGGGAAATAAACTGGGACACAAAAAAAAACCCTCTAGCAATGGAGAAGCTAGCACACTGCAGCAAATACAGAATCATAGTCACTTTTACTGCATTCATATGTCCTGTGTAAGTACTAGTTAATCATTATAACACCCTCTGAAAGTAAGTGGCAATTTTCCTATTCTATCATCAAAAATAGATTAGCTGCATAACTTTTTAAAAATGCACAGTGGATTCAGAAATGAAATTCAGGAGTTCCCTGTCCTTAGCTATGTTTTCAGTCTTGCTACTGGCCTGTACGGTGTCAGAAGTCTATTCCATCCCAGATTGCTTCTACTTGCCTAGAAGCTTTATCTGTTTACTTGAAAGTACTTCTATTTTTCCATATAGCTGCTGATTTTATGGTAATTTTTTTGTGAAGTTTTGCCCTGTGCTGTATGTACACTGAGCCAATTTCAGCTTAACTTATTTTTCTGGTGATACTGTTGGGACGTATCTGTCTAATGGAGCATACTGCAAAAGTGTCTGACCTAGTGCTGACCGAGTCTGGTGTATAGCATGTGTAGGGATAAGAGTTGTCCAAAAGCAGTGTAGTCATGATTTATTAGGACCTAGGGTGCCAGATCCTGCAAGTGGTGGTTCAAAAAACACTGTAAGCAACAATTCTGGTATGATAAGCTTTGATCTTATGGTAAAAATAAAAAATCAGAGCCAGAAATTCTTAAATTTGTAATCCCAACTGATACAGACTCCTTTGTTGGTTTATCTATTTACTTATGTCTTGTTTTGGGTGTTTGGGAGTTCTTAGTTTCTCCACCTGTAAGACAAAGAAAATGTTTCTGAATATCATTTCTTGCATGCAAATAAAGTTTCTTGAGTCATTGTCTAATGAAGTTAATATTGCTGCAAATAGAAGTATTTTACTCATTTCATGGTTTAAATACTTAGCATAGAAGATACTTGATAAAGAAAAAAATTAGGTTTTGATACCTAGTGTATTTACTAGCTCCTGAGGACCATTGAGGTTTGTTACTGATTTTTGAAATTTTGTCATACATACATTAGTAATTGTCTTCTGATGTTCTCTGTCTAGATTCTTACTTATATCTGAGTGTTTTCTTAAACATTGTTTGATGTTCAAAGAAGAACATGCTTGCTGACAGTACTTTTCTTCTTCAAAGTTTTTGATTACAGGTGGGAGTCTACAAGATAGTAAAGATGCATTGCAGCTGGCACAGACAAATGGTATTTTCACTTTGAACTTATGTTGTCAGTCAGAAATATAACCTTCTCCACTCTCAGAATTAAGAGTTCAAAAGGACCTGCCCCTGGACGTGTTTACAGAATCTCGGATTAAAATGAGAAATTATGTTTCAGAATGGGATGAATGCATTGTGTATGAGTTTCTGTATGTTGCTCTTTAGATCCCTGGGTGTTGGAAGGCATCGGTCTTTCCTGTAATTTCTATTTCTAGGTAGAAATTTTATTTATTCCAGAAGTTTTCCTGTAATTTCTATCTAGAAATAGAAATTACTGGAAACTTCTGGAATAAAAATTTTGTTACAAGGCTCTCTTCTAGAAATAAGATGGAATGCTTATATGGTGTGGAATATATGTTTTTTGGTGGGGTTTTGTTTGGTTTTTTACTTACCAATCTATCATGAGCAGCTTGAACAAGAGAGGTATCTTTCTTTTTATGGTTCTCCTACTTTTCCCTTTCTTTCTGTGAAAAGGCAAATATCATTCCACTAATTACTTAAATATGTATTTGAACTAAAGCATATGTTGAAGTACTATTTACAGAACAGAACCGTAGAATAATTTAGGTTGGAACGATCCTGAGGAGGTAATCTGGTCCAACCCAATCCACCTCTCCACTTCCATCAAAGCAGGACTAGCTTTAATAATTAGATCAAGCTGCTCAGGGCCTTATATAGTCTTTCCCTCCCCCACCATGCTTTTACATTCTCCTTAAAGGCACTTAGCAGAAATGTTAGTTTTGGCACTAAGGTAATCTAGATTAGACACTCAGGTAAATCAAGCTAGATGTTGCTTGCAAAATTCTGTAACAGCTAATGTAGAGGCACATGAGGGAAATCACATGCTGTCTGCAAACCTTACAGCTGAGGATAACCTGATGCGTTTTGAACGAGATACATTTCTAGATGACCTCAAGAGGTCTCTTCCAGCCTCAACAATTGTATGATTTGTTGAGGGCCGCTCCACCAGAATAATTCAGGTTTGAGTTGCTGTTTTGGAGTATACTAAATAACATGTACTAAAAAGAAACACATGCACACGCTCCCACTAGAGATAGTCTAAGATTTTTAAAGCAGAAAATATCAGTGTAATAAAATTATCAGCAAGATAAAGTTGTTCAAAGGGAGTTTTCTTTTAAAATTATGAGCAATAAAAAAGTCCAGATACAGATACTGTCTATACTTTATATAAATTTTCTTTTTTTTTCTTTTTCTAAAAACCTAATACTATCTTGCTTTAGACATGTTTTACAGTACAGTTGGCTGTCATCCTACCCGCTGTGGAGAATTTGAGCAGAGTAGCCCTGAGCAGTATTTATCTGAATTAAAAAATCTGATTGAAAAAAATAGGACAAAGGTAATAGCAGTTGGAGAATGTGGCTTAGGTAAGTGTTAATCTTAGTACTTCAACTTTTTTTTCTTCTACACATATATTAAAAAATTCTAACGCACTAAGTGGGTTTTTTGTTCTTTCTATTTGTAGATTTTGATAGATTAGAATTTTGCCCAAAGGACATCCAACTCAAGTAAGAAGCTTTTGATGACTATAAATTGACTTGTAGCAATTTACAGGAGTGTTTTCTATCTTGTGTTCTACCAGGTAATGTTTTGTCAGGTATAGACCTGCAATTTGCAGGGTTGGATCTGGGTTTTTTGGCAGAAATGGGACTTTAAAGAAAGATGCCTACATTCAAGTAGTGCTATGTGCTAAATTTTGCTACCTGCCTGGTGTTGACTTAGCATGTCTTTTTCTGTAAAATTGATCAGAATTTGTGGGTTTCTGGGTGTGACAGATGTCCATTCTTGCTAATACTCAAGAACTCTTAGAGATTCATGGGGAGAATAACATAACTGTAGTGTGTGAAAGAAGAATTAGGTTGAGTGAAAGGCACAGGGAAGGGAACAGAACTGTCAAAAAGGGTAAGTTGGCAGTGGAAAAAAAATGAGCTTTTAAGGGAGGTGTTAGCTGGGAACAGATAATTGAGAGCTGATGAAAAAAGTTATCCCAGGAGCTGGAGAGATCCGTGTTTTGAAGTAATGTATGCAGCATAGATACTGAATGGAAAGAAGCTACCACAGCCGCTAAAATCAGCTTGCATTCTTGTAGTGAGAACTCCGTCTAGAGAGGGAAGTGACTGAAAGATGTAAGTGATGAATTCAGATAAGATGAGTGATTAATGAATTGTGCCTGCATATTACTGTTCTCAGTAAATTAGTCACTGGGGGGCAGTGGTTAGTTGTGTTTTTTTCTAATTGCCACATGTTAGCAGTAGGTTGAATTTTCTTCAAAATGCTACAGTCATACAGTAAAATATTCAGCAAAGTGGACAGAACTTTTTTCCTGGTATAATTCAGTGTACACAAAGTTCAGCAAAGCACACCTTGGAGCATAACCTGTTTCTTTTCTGTGGCAAACTAAAACACTGGTGGAGTATCATATTTTAAGATCCTTACTGCCTTGATGTTAATTGGGAGAAAAAAAAATAATAGCTGATTTTCCTTATCTGATGGACTGCAGCTGAAGACCTGTAGTGAAAATCTTCTAATCAAGTGCTCTGAAATTGGGTTGTGAGGAAAGAGGTGACAGGGTGGAACAGAAATCACTTTTAAAGTGGTAGGTGAGTCCTTTCTAACTAAGGTTGATAATGACAGAAAGTCTTTATCTGAGCTATTTCAGTAAATCATATGAAATACATAAATCTAGTTTCTAAGAGTTCTACTGAGAGCCGTTGCTGGAAATTGCAGTTGGAAGGAGGTGATTGTTAAAAAAAAAAAAAAAACCAGAAAGCAAAAAATACAAGGAAGTGAAGAATCGTGGAATCATAGAACCCCCCCCTTGCAATGAGCAGGGACATTTTCAACTAGATCAGGTTGCTCAGAGCCCCCTCCAACCTGACCTGGAATGCTTCCAGGCATGGGGCATCCACCACCTCTCTGGGCAACCTGTGCCAGTGTTTCACCACCCCCAGCGTAAAAAATGTCTTCCTTATAGCTAGTCTAAATCTACCCCCCTTTAGTTGAAAGCCATTCCCCCTTGTCCTGTCACAACAGGCCCCACTAAAAAGTCTGTCCTCATCTTCCTTATAAGCCCCCTTTAAGTATTGAAAGGCTGCAATAAGGTCTTCCTGGAGTCTTCTCTTCTCCAGGCGCTCTCAGCCTGTCCTCACAGGAGAGGTGTTCCATCCCTCTGATCATTTTTGTGGCCGTCCTCTGGACCCTCTCCAACAGGTCCATGTCTTTCCTAAAGAAATATTGAAAGCCTCAAGGACAGATGCCTGGAACCACTGTGTTTGTAAATTCCGTATTTTCTAAATGGACAGCTTTCCCTGCTCTTCATCCTTCACGTGTTTGTGAAACATGGTCAGGGTTTGGGGTTGTTTTCATTTCTGCTAATTGAATGCTATGGAGTTGGATACAGTTTGGCTTTCATGACCTTTAACAGACTGGATGGTGAATTCTTCAAATTAATATTCAGTGTGTGCTTCATAAATGAACTAAAAAAAAAAAAAGGAAGGCAAATGTGAAATGCATGGAGGCAGGTCACCGGTTTTCAGCCGATCTGTAGTTCAGGTGTTGTAGCAGTCACTGGAATAGCTAGCAAGCAGCTGCAGTTACCCTGTAGAAGAGAAGTATGGTAGTTTCCCAGTGGGTAGTATCTGAGCATGACCTCTGTTTTCTTTAATGTTTAATCATTATTTTCTAGTTAGTTATGCTGTATTTTCTTCTGGATAATTTTCACCTGTAAAAAATGTTCAATTTTTTTTATCCTTTTTCTTGGATTGAAAAGCTAATAACGATGAGAAGCTAATAAAGATGAAATTCCTTTGTTGAAGCAGCTCTAAGAACTTTTTTTTTGTCAGAATTTTTCTCCATTCTCATAACTTTTCCAACAGAAAATGGTGATTTGAATGGTAGTTAGATGAAGGTACTGCCTTCATATTATGGTGAAGGTCACATTATAAATGGACTGATAAATATATAGAAGTTTCACTTCTGCTGTCCTACTGGAAGAGGTTTGTGGGGCTTAGCAACACGGAAACAGGAGTTTTCTTAACCAAATTGGATGGGATGAACAAAATCACATGCACTGTTATTCATACATTAATCCAGAATTGTTTGTCTGCGGATATTCTACCTCAGCAAGGCCTGTTTGCTTCAGCTCCTTTAGTGTCTTGAGCCTAAGCCTGAAAATACCACAGTGTTTGAACTTTATGGTCAAAACTAAACCTGCAAACAACCATGCAGAAATATTTTCAAAATTCCTTATTGAGAAGCAACATAGAACCAGTGTATCTGGGATGACAGTCTGCTCACCCAGAGAAAAAGGTTGTTCCTTCAGCACTGGAACTAGTAAGGTTTAGTTTCCCACTGATTTACTTCGTTACCGTTCTGATCACCGTATGTCTGGTTTCTTCGTGCTTTTCCAGGGTTTCTCTTTCCTTTTTTGTTTTCCTTTTTTTATTTTTTCTATCCAAGAACTTCCCCATTCACCTCCCCTTTCTTTTTGACAGGGCAAGTAGCAGCATGTGTTGGGCTTCATTGTTGCTAGGAATGGAAGAAGCTTGAGTTGCCTTTCCATTTGTAGGGGCACTAAACTTTGTACTTTCAAGATCACTGCCCTTCTCAAGATTAGATTGAAATTGGCAGTAGGTTACTTAGGGGTCTTATTTGCAGCGCTGTCTCTAAAACCTCATTCCCTTATGAAAGAAGTCTTCTGTTAAAAAAAAAACCCACCAATAATCAAGCAATTGTAGCTATTTAACCACAAGAGCTATCATGAGTTGCAATTGAATTTATATTTAGTCAAACAAGCTAAACTAAGCACGGTATCTAGACTACGAAGAAGATTCAAAGTAGGTGTAATTTATTCTCCTCAGTTTTCATGTCAGTTTTTAACATTACAGCCGATTTCTGTTCCACCTGTTTTATCTCGAAGATCTGTACTGATAAACAGGGAAGGTAACTTTTATCAGAGAAATATCAACCTGTAATATACAGTGAAAACCGCACAAAATGAAATGACTAGTTGCATTGTCTTTTTTTTAGGAAAATGTAAATCAAACTAATGGTTTGCTGCCACTTTTCTCCTGATTGGTATGTGAATCATACACAGCAGTATGTGGACACTTGAGTTTGCCTTTGAAATGTTTCTGATATCTGATGATGGGAATGCCCCAGTGCCCTGGACTGCTTTTAACAGCAACACCTGAAGAAATGCAATATGTGCATACAGTCCCAGCCTATCGGGACAGGCCCTGTTGTCTTTCTTGCCTTGTCCCAATAATGTCATCTTACAAATTATGTATGGATACTGAGTCACCTATGGACTGTTGGCCCTCTGCCATGCATAAGTTCCTCTACTGTGTTTCTGGAGCATTGGTAACTTGCATGCCTGGGTGTAGTGTGGCAGACAGAAATGGTAAATGACAATGCTCTGGGATCAGAACTAGCTGCAAATGACAAGTGACAGGTTAGTTCAGTGCTAATTAGTTTCCTTTGGAAACTGTACTGGGGAAACTGGCTACCTAGTTACCTTCCCACTGCCCACATTTTGATGTCTCTTCATAGGATGGCTGCCTCTCTGTCACTGTTCCTTCAAAGGGAATACTAGGACTAGAACGTAGGAGAGGGATAAAAAGGAGTGCAAAGGAAAGGATGCAGGCGCACAAAGGAGAGGAGGGGAAACAGGAAGACTTGGAAAGAGTGAAGACAATAGGCAGAATGAGGCAGAAGTAAGATGCCTAATATTGGTACTTGTTCTACCCCAAGAGAGGAAAGGTTGCTTCATGGAAGAGCAAACAAAAAGTCTGGATTTGTTACTTTACAGGCCAGCCAGCTCTGATGCAGTTTTGGCCATTTGAGGCTACAGAAGGCTGCACAGTGTTCCCTCACTCACCCTCACTGCATTTACAAGTGCTTCTTGAAATAGTGGCCTCTGTGTGATCCACACTCCCCCTTCCTGACATTTCAAAACTTTCTGGAGAGAACAGTCAGTTCCTCTTTCATTAAAAATAAATAACTTAAAACCGAACTCCCAACACCTGCGCTACACAAGAGTACATGCTTAGCATATGTATGTGTGCATTTGTCAGTATTGATGCTCTTGGCCACTTCTTATCTGTCTTCCAGCACAGATCACTACTGTATGAATATACCATGGGAAAGAGTTCCTTTTAAATACTTGCACAAATAAGAGCTTTTGCATGGCAAATCCATTAATTCTGTCTTTAGTTCTGGAGGACTAAAACGTACAAACGCTGGAAAAAACTCTTCTACTGTTTGCTCTTAAGCTGAGTTTCTGTTTAAAAGTGATTTTTATTTCACAGGTATTTTGAAAAACAATTTGACCTGTCAGAACAGACACAACTGCCTATGTTTCTTCACTGTAGAAACTCACATGCTGAATTTTTAGGTGGGTTTTGTTTGAGAATTTCATACTCGGCAAATTCTGAGTATGAAAAATCTGGAAACCTGAATCTTTCACCTTTGTCTGTTATAAAGCTGTCTTACATTTTTATTTATTTCATTTCATAGACATAATGAGAAGAAACCGAGATAGATTTGTAGGAGGGGTGGTAAGTATGGACTTCAGTGTAGCATTCATTTTTACACGTATGTGTGTGAATATCGTTGCTTAATATGCAACTTGTTGTTTGTCATGGAATCTGGGTAGGCTTCCTGTTACATGATTTAAGTTATTATTAATTAGTAAGTGTTTTCCAGTCCCTTCTAGTATTTTTATTTTCGTTGCTTATTCAACATTTTTTTTCGCAAGGTAAGAAGATAGGCTGAGAAAAACTCTCATGTCAGCTGCAGAGTTTTTTCTTGGCCTGTCAGAAGGACAGTTTAAGCACCTTAAAATTGACATTGGCCTTTTCCCAGTTCTTCAGTGTCTGTAACTGCAGTGCATTCAGACCACAGATAATTTAGATGCGTGTTCCCAGTGGAAGCCGTAACCTCAAACATTTGCTTCTGACGTTAGACATCATTTTCAAATTAGACCCAGATGTAACTTTTGATTGCTTTATGTCTTTAGATATTCAGATCATGTATTTTAATTCAAAAGCATAACAGGAAATACTTTGGATGGAATGATTAAGAAAGTCCAGCAACACTCTTTCAGGTTTCCATTATGCCAGGGTTTTCCAAAAGTAATAAATCCTTGGATTATTCTATCCTACTAACATCAGACCACACCTCCTACAATAATATCTCAGTCCCCAGGTTTCCCCTTTGTTACTGCAAGCACCTTCTCCTAGCTCAGTACTTTGCGTGTTGTGCTCTTACGTAGTACTGTACAGTCTCTCCTTCCTTCCTTTCTCTTTTCTGCCAAACCAGTAACTAGTAGAGAAATGATGAGTGGGCACCCTCTGCAACTGACTGTGCCCCTCGCAGCATGGGGAAGCAGACAGTGTCTTTACTCCATTCGGGCTGAGAAGCTGCGGTTCCCAGATGCATTACGCTGTTTGCACCTTGTGACCTACCACTTGCCTCTTTAGTCCCTGGGATGACCGAATAGACTGTCTCTCTAGTTCCCGTGGACTAAAATCTGTGGAGAACATAACACTGCTCTTACTATGTCCCTGACAGTGCCTCGCAGGGAATACTGAGGAAAGAAAGTAAAAATTCAGCGTGCGCAGGATTACTTCCTGTGTATGGTCTCCCAGCTATCAGCTACAGGAAGTTCCTGGGCCAAAAGCAGTATCACTGGATAGGCCTTTTCTACACATATTTATCACTCATAAAACATGGTAACCACTTTCCTTGGCAGTATTCAAGTGACTTCAGCCTGAACTTTCCCCAAATCAGAATCAACTGAGCCACGTCCCATCTTTATGTTTGTATTGATGTGTAATGCATACTATCAAAGGTATTTATGATGCAAATAAAAAATAATACGTACTTTTAAATGATTGGAGTTTTAAATGAAGTACATATATTTGTATATATGTGCGCATCTATATTTATGTATGTTCTAGGTACATTCTTTTGATGGCACGAAGGAAGAAGCAGCAGCTATATTAGATTTGGATCTTTATATTGGAATAAATGGCTGGTAAGCTCTTTACAAGAAATAAAACTATTTTAAAATGTCAGCTGTAGTGAACTCATTGCTTTCTTTTAAACAATGAGGTCAAGTTTTCAAAGCTCACTAGACTCTTAATCATCTGACAGATTTAGAATTGTACTCAGTCTACTAGCCATAAAAAGTTCTTAACTCACAGCTCGGCGAGTTAATCTAGTCTTAGGTCCATTCTACTACCCTCAGGTCAATCCTTGTTTGAAAATAAGTAAGGTTGTTGAACGTTGAAGCAGTCCTTCTGAGAAGTGTTTAAAAAATAGCGTAATTTTAAGCTGCTATGTCAAATCCAGGATGCAAATGTAACCTGAGCAGCCCTATCTACTGGTTATGCTGTCTGAATTCTCGGCAGTCATCTGGCCGAAAGCCAGCCAGCACCACTTTGTAAGTTGCATGGGCTGCTGAAGCCAGGCAAGTATGGGCAGTGCAGGCAGGGATTCTGCATGCTTACTGGGGTGAGACGGCTTCACTGAGTAACTCTCCAAATTTGCCGTTTTCTGCAAAGTTTGAATTTACGGGCAGCACTTTTAAAAATGAAGCAATTTTTATTCACTAACAAAATTATTTAGGAAGCTGCCTTTGCTGCAAAACATTTCAACAGGCAAAGTAATTACTTTTATATACTTTTGTTTTTTTTAACCAAACTCTGATTTTCTAGTTCATTGAAAACAGAAGCCAACTTGGAAACACTGAAATCTATTCCTAGTGAACGATTAATGATAGAGACTGGTAAGATTTTATATCTTGGTCAGTTTGTGACTTAAACACTATGAGGCAACGAGATACGCTTGTATAGCAATGATAAGGCAAAATCAAGACCTAAGGAGTTAGGAGTAGGAAAAGGACTGGCTGTTTCTCCACTTTTGGAAAGCAGTTTACAGGCTCCAGAAATACTCCTTTTCAGCCTTCTGCTGGAAGGAATAAGCTGCCACGTTGGTTCCTGACATTGCAGGGAAAGAGGAAAAGGACAAATTGACAAGCCCGGATTTTTAAATGTACCTAGGTACCAGAATCCTGCTTGAATATCTTTTAAAATCTGGCTTGCTGGAGATGTGCCAAACACAGGGCAGTGGCTGTGATCTTGCCACTGGTAGCAGTAACGGCATTTGGAAACAACAGCTCTTTAAATGCTGGTGGAAGAACGCTTGAATTCCCCTCTTGGCCTAATGAGCAGTGATTTTAACTGACTCACTAGGGATGCCTCTTTTTTTTTTTTTTTGCATGTTCATTTCAATTATCAATAACTGGCAGTTATAAATACAGTATTTATTTTAATTTCTGAATCTGAGAAAGGAAAACCACAAACTGCCTAAATCCTTAATGTTATGTGCACATGAAGTGTAACAGACCTGTTGAAGTGTACAGGAAGTTTCTGTGGAATACATGCAGTGTATCTAGCTAGCTACATCTCCAGCAAGCCAGATTTTAAAAGATATTCAAGCAGGGTTCTGGTACCTAGGTACATATAAAAATCTGGGCTTGTCAATTTATCATGTTGGAGGAAATAAGTGTTATGTACTATTCTTGCTGATTTTTTAAAATGTAAAATCTTGAAGGTAACAGTATAAAAATCCAAAGATCATGAAGATGTTAAATTGCCCAAATCTCTTAAATTTCATTTTGAATTGGAAGTCACTGCTAGAAAGAGATTGCAAGAACTTCTGTCTGTGGAAGTAGTTGATTAAACTATCTCATGCTATTCTCAAACAATTGCATACTCTTCTTTTTTTTTCAAATGAAACTAGATGCGCCTTGGTGTGGAGTGAAAAATACTCATGCTGGATCGAAATATATTAAAACTACATTTCCTACAAAAAAGAAATGGGAAATAGGGCACTGCTTGAAGGACAGAAATGAACCCTGCCATATAATGTAAGTGTACTACTGTAGTATTATTTTAAATCCTTCAACTCTCACGGGGGAAAAAAATCAGTTCACTGGAAATGTAGTATATAGAAATGAATTCTAAATTTATTGAAACTTGTGCAAGGTATTGCTTTATAGGCTGTGGAAAAATTTAGAGAGTCTTAATTTTCCTATTTCAGTAACTCTGGATTTAAAAAGCTCCCTGAAAATGAAACCAGTACTGTTTTTATCTTTTCACTGGATATGTTGGAGAAGGGGTTAAACCCTGTAAAGCAAACCTGACTTGAATAAATTTCACTCAGTTGTTGTTCCAGTTACTGTTAAAACTGGTAACAGCACTGGAGCTGCGCAGTCCTCCACAGAGGGGGCAGTACTAGGACACTGAGTAGGGCCTGTGCCTGTGTTCCTATCACAGCGCCTGTGACATGAGCTGCCGTAACATGAATTTGGTTAGAGTCATTCCTTCATTCTCCTACTGTGCCGAAAAAATACTAAAAGTTTCACAGAACGCTGTGTCCTATGAAGTTTAGATACGAAGAACAGCAGTCAACGTAGAGAATAGTGAAAGAAAACTCCAGGGGCTTAGGGACAGTTAGAAAGTACAGAAACTGTTTTCTGCCACCTTTTCATGTGCTTCCTCGCAGAGGTGTGAAAAGCAGGAAAATGTATCATTGTTTTGGTGAAAATGTTTAGTTATCTCCATTAAACAGCACTGATAGATGCTTAATTTTCACAACTGTTACTGAAGTCTGGTCGGTGAGTTATGCCAATCTTGTCAGTCATCTTATCGTTATCAACTCCCTGAAAAGAAGAAGGAATTCAGGAAGGTTTCTTCTTGCGCTGTAATACATGAATGAATTTTCAGCAAATAAAGCTCACAGCTGTACCTGTCCAGGTGCAAAGCCCATGTACTCGATCAGAAGTGGGATTTTTTTTTTTTTTGCTGTGAAGTCTGTATGTATTTCTATGAAAAGCTGTGTAAATGACCTGTTTGGAACTAGCTTTTGAAATACTGCTCAGTGTAGTACTAAAGAATTTAGGTATTCAGCAAGGTGTCTAAACAAGAGTTTGAGAACTGAAGGGAATTCTGCTGCTTTTTTGGGGGACCTGAAGAAACTCTTAGCAAGAGACCACTGGTCATGCTAAAAGCATGGTTTAAGCTTACATGGTAACATCTCCTAGTGTTCAGATATATTTTATGCAGTTATGTCGATCTGTAATACTCTTTGAGATTGATCTTATTTGTGTTTTAAAGACGAAGTGCACACATTAGCATGGAAGGACTTTTTCAGTATTTTAAGACTTTCCTAGGGTCAGTCCATGATTTTGGAGTAGGGGAAGAGATCAAGTGAAAACAGTTCTCTGATCAGAAGTGATCTACTGTTGCTGAATAAGGCTATTTTGGCAAGCCTGTGTGTGTTAACAACACCCACATGTCTTTGTCTGCTGCCTTAGTTGTAGCTTACAGAAAAAGTGTTTCAGAAACCCCAGAACTGGAAATGCAGGGAGTCTATCCTAGAGCGGTACACAAATGCTATACTTGGTTTCTTTTATAAAACAAAATCTTGTTTAGTTCAACCTTATTTCAAAATTACTGTCCCTTTAACACTAATTATAACCTGTACTAATTGTAGATTAGTAACCTGAGAACCTCTTAAACCTTATGAAAAATGAAGCGTGGTAACTGAGAATTGGTATTTTGTGACTTCTCAAATAGCAAGATCTGGTGTGAGGGGAAAGTTAGCCTCAGGCCACAAAGCATATTTCATGTTCAGGGTATATATACTGTTTAATATAGCTCAATTGGCAGGAGGAATTTTCCCCTTGTCTTTTTTTGGTGGTGCTGAACACCTTTCAATTTTGATGGTGATATTTCCACTTTATATATATTCTTAGAACTGCACTACTCCCCTTGGAAGCTATTTTTTTTTTTGACATTTTAGCCACAAGAGGCTTTTTTTTTTTTCTCCTTCAGCAATTTCATAACCAGTGTTACAGTAACATGTAGCATCCTACTGCATCCAAGTGGGGATAGATATGTAAGTCCTAACAAGACTCTTCAAGGGTGAAATTCTTTGGTATTTGTTACTTATTTCTCTGTAGGCCTGATGTCACCCCATCTCATCTTGAACATCCCCTTAAATCAAGAAGCTGTTTGGCTGCAAAGCACAGGAGTGGTCATGAAATGGGCTAATTCTGCATCTAGGAAAATAGTTGCATTCCAGTAATTGTTAAGAGCAACTTTTTCTACTCTGTCTTCCTCAAAAAGCTTAGCTATTGCGTAAGTTGAGGCAAGATCCAAAAACCAAAACCACTAAACCCTACCACTAAGCTTGAGGTTCTTACTCTTCACCATGAAGTTGGGTTTTTTTTCCTACTACAAGAAAAAAATGAAAGTACGAAACATCTTAGGAACTGTACAGAATATTCATTTTTTTTCAGAATGATTGATACAAAATCAAGAAAATAGGTACAGAGAAAAGATCATGGCTTGGTTTTCTATTACTTAGCATTAATATTATTCATCCCATTTCTTTTGCCTCTTTCCTGGCTCGTATCAAGGCTATGGGCCTTTTAAAATTGCTCATTTAAGGTTTACTGCAAATATCTGAATGCGTTAATCACAATTAATCTAGAGAACGGGGAAGTAGAAATAAGTTACTTTGGCAGCTATACTCTCAGATAAGGCTGTATCTGGAATTTAAGCTTTGCCATAGACCATTTTATTCATAGTGCAACTTTAGTCTTGAAAGGCTAACAAATTTCAGTCTGAAAAATGAAGACCATTGATAAAGACACCCACAAAATGACACTTTCTTTGAAACAGAAAGCTGTTTAATTACCTCCAAAGAGTCAAAAGACCAAAGATGAATCTGTACCAGTGAGCAACCACTGTTCAGTATGAAGGGAATGGCAGATAGTGACTTAAAAGTGAAGCTGTTTGCGTATCTGAGCACCTTGCCCTGCTGCTCTCAGCATATATTATTATTCCAGGTTAATCTTAGCGGCTTGTACATACACATGCAGCAGTCTGAAGTATATTCAGTACCAAGTTTCAGTCTTCTAATATCTATCTTTCTTTTTTAGTCAAATACTGGAAATAATGGCGGCAGTAAGAGAAGATGACCCACTTGAGTTGGCCAATACTCTATATAACAACACTATTAAAGTCTTCTTTCCAAATATATAGTTGTTTTTCTTACATTTACTTAGCATAACTTTAGTAAATATATTGCAAAAACTTAAAAATTATCATATCTGCAAGTTCTTATCAATGGAAGCCAATATGTAGTGTTGTTTTTTTTTTTTATGGTACAAGATTAAAGCTACTTTTGAAAAGGTGGTCTGCATTTGTGCAGTTTCTCAGCCGTTTCCCTTTCATCAAGACTCAGGATCAATTTCAAGGATAGCCCAAGCTAGCAACTCTTGCTAATACCTGTATGCCTTACAAGATGAATACCAGGCTGCTGAGTTCACACGTAGAGCACTTCAAGCTACTACTGGTAATTCAGAAGTGTTCAACGCATCAATGGCATGCTTTACTACTTCACTGGAAAGCTTAGCAGTTTTGTCTTTTGTTCCACATACACAAATGCTATAACATTAAGTCTACCAACCTAAATTTTTATTTATTTTTTTAAAACACAACTCACTAGTTTTTAAGCAATAAAGCTCTGCTGATACTGAATTTGTAAGTAAAGCTGCTTTGGTTCAGGCTTTTCATTTCTGATTTGACCTGCTGAACAGTCTGTTTTCACCAGTATTTTTCATTTGCATCCAGACCTCATTGATCAGGGGTTACTGGTATACAGTCTTTGGCACAGCATTATCACTACATCAATTAAAGAGTGTTTTTCCAACCATCTTAAAAACATGTGAAAACATTTTATTCCATGTACAATAATGTACATAATTTTAAGGTGGTCATGAAAGAGACCAGCAAAAGTTAGAGGTATATTTACAGTAGCACACACCACAGTAAACAACCACCATTCACAGACTCAACATTGAGATACTGCTGTTGTGCTTAAGTACAATAACTACAAAGTGATACTTTTATTCTGTTGAAGTCAATCTTAAACAAATACCTCACGGCTTAGTAAAGGACATCTTAATCACCAAGAGAGTTAGAGTCAACATTAAGAGTCTCATTCAAGTGCTGTGCCACACAGTCATCGTCTTCCTCATCGCTATCGGAACTGTCATTATCTTCATTTAATTCATTTTCAGCATCAGCAGCTTCTTCTGCAACTTGTACAGGATCTTCATTTGGTGCCACAAACCCATTGTTGTTGGAGATATTGGCATTTTCCTTGTCCTCAATATACACTTTCTGATGGCACATCGGGCAAGTGTCCTGAATGTACAGCCACTTCCGAAGACAAAGTGCATGAAAGTAATGGTTGCATGGAGTAATGCGAGCAGAGGTGGTGAACTCATGGTAACAGATTGCACATACATCATCTATTTCATGTAACCGACTTCCTTTTACCTCTGGAAGTGAGTTTATTTTCTTAACAGCAGTCCGGCGATTTATAAAAGTCTTCCAGCCATTCTTTGCTTGCAAGTAGATGTTGAAGTATGCATGTAGACACATCATGCAAGCACGAATCTTGCTTCCCGATTCAAAAACCATTGTGTAAGCTCCATTTCCAAACATGATCACTCCAAATATAAACTCAATAATATTGCCAGTTGAACGAACATAATAGACATAATCATCAAGTTTTTCCCATAGCACATTATAGTAGCCATCAATCATAAACAATATATAAACAGTGATAGAAACTATTACTTTTAGGCAAAGCTCTACACAGAATGCTGTAACTGCAAAAAGCCACGTATTTAGTGCATAGTGGTGCCAGAGGATGTAACTCAGCAGAACTGGAAGGACGAAAAGGCAAGCAGAAACAAACAGTACAGGGAAGTGTCTGCGAAATGATGACACGTGGGAGGCACTGAGAGACATCAGCACAGGGTCTGTCATTCCATGGATAAAATGCAGGACTGCGGTTAACAAAAGGCACATGTTTCGACTCAGGCGAACTAATCGTTCTTCTGGTTTCAGTCCACTTAGACCAGTCTGCAGAGCCAAAATGAAAAACAAGACGGGCGCTACAAAACCAAGCCTTTTGTCATCCTCATCAGTTGATCCGATGAAGGCCAAGATGCCAAGTCCCAAATAGTGCGCTATTGAGGAAATGACGGCACTCATGCCTAACACAGTTAAAGTAGAGTCACACCCACTTATGATCAGGCTGCAAATCAGTTCCCAACAGTTATCCCACGATAGCAAGAAGAATTTTTCTTCTGTATTAGTTTCAGCCATCTTTACAACGTATGTTAACACCACAGCTTGTGCTGTAAGTCTCGTTAGCCAGAAGACACGCAGTACAGCTGGAAACCGAATCCTTTTCCATGTATCTTCCATCAATAGCTGTAATCCATAAATGCGATACATGTGCCTCACCAGCAGATAAACATATCGCACCGAATAATAGAACCATTTAATTTTCGTAACTAAAATGGCTGTGGTATTTAGTGTCAGAACTAGGCCTGAAATAAAAACTAGTATCTGCCGGATATTTAAAGGTAATTCAACAACCAAGCCAATTACAGGAATCAGTATATCCAGGATGATGAGTTGAGAGTATATGGACTGCACGTTTAGCAATGTAACATATCCAATTCCAAAGGTAAGCTGAAGGATGGAAAGTGCCATCCATAGCGAAGGTCCTTTATGAGGCAAGATCTGAATTCCAAATGCAGCTGTGTAGTAGGCACTGTAGAAGTTTATGTGCAAAGAAGCATAGTAATTCACCAACACTGAAGTGGCAGCCAGCAGAAATGCCGAGGTGATCATATAAAACTTGAAAAGTGCTTGCTGTTGTAAGACCAAAACAACACTGGATACAAAGACACCTAAAAACAGATTGAAATCATTTAGTTCTCAGCAGAAATGCAACAATGGATTTTAACCTATTAGCTTTGGAGCTACACTGTTTTAATATATCACTTCCCAATTAGTCACGCCTAACTTGACATTACCCTTTGGTGCCCTTTTCAGAGAACAGACACACGGATGACTTAATCTGCATTTAATACATCTGTGCACTGCAGCTGCGATTCAAAGCCAATGCAAGCATTAAGTCACAATTACACTTAAGTTTATCTGCAGTTTCAGACTAGAGCAGTGACAACTCCCAGCCTTTCAGCCTTACTCTTGAAATCTAAGGGTAGACAAGTTCTAAAAGCAGGAAAGAATTGCCAGATGTAGCATCACCTTTACAGACAAAGTTCGTAATTTTTACTCATTTATTCCTTATTAAGTCACTTAATTCACTTGAGCAAAGCACTCAACTACAGGTGTCCAAGCTGGAGTACTAAAGATAACAGTCACCGAAACAGTTTAGCTAAACCCTTTAATGGGAAAATACTGAGAAATTGCTGTATTTACTGGGGAGAGGGCACTCTTCTTCCAATTCCCTTCAGTTTGCTTTCATTTCTGGTAAGGCATCCTGAAACAAAGGCTTATGGAGAAGACCTTCTGCAACATAAAGCTTTTGTACACAGAATCCAAAACCACCAATCGCCTCTTCGCCAATGCCAGTGCAAACTTGCATCTTACTTGCTAGAAGTCGGATTTAGAGCTTGAAATTCCTGTTTGCTAAGCTTTCCCTCATACTGACCGTGAACACATCTTGACCATGACTGGAAAGGCTGCACCTTCCTATGAGAAATCCTATCATAGCATCTATAGTACCTTGGTATTACATTTACGTCCTTGCAGTAAACCCCTTCTGTAGCGTAGCTTATGAATTTCACCACTATGTACTACATAGGTAAGGACTCGCCTTAACAGATGTTAAATTAAATGGCACTTATCACTAGATTCACATCCTTAATAATTTTTTTCTTCAGGAAACACACTGCCTTTGTTTTGGGCTTCTCAATCAGCTTCCAGTCCATGCAACTGCTTTCTCATCCAAACCACTTTGGAGAGATTTTGATCTCTACAACTACTATTTGATTGTAAGTTGCTTTCAACCTCTGTACTAAAACTAATGAAATCACAAGTAATCCTCTTTCGACTGGAGGATAGCATCAGTCTTTTCTGACGATTGTATTTTAGATTGTTCCAAATCCTCCATAATCAAGTGTTTAAAAAAAAAAAAAATTTGAAGCCATGGAACTCCCAGCCAGCACGGGTTCATGAGAGGCAGGTCCTGCTTGACCAACCTGATCTCCTTCTATGACCAGGTGACCCGCCTAGTGGATGAGGGAAAGGCTGTGGATGTGGTCTACCTGGACTTCAGCAAGGCCTTTGACACTGTCTCCAACAGCATTCTCCTAGAGAAGCTGGCGGCTCAC